GGCGGGGGGGGTGGCTGGAAGTCTGCCCCTGCCAGGCTTTTGCACAATCACAGGCTCCCAGCGCTGATCGTGGGAGGTAGGGCTGCAGTCATTTCCCCACATTTCCCCCCCCTTCCCTTTTTTTGGGAGACCATCTGGCAATCCTAGCCCTGGTATCTGATTGATTGTTTTGTGTGTCTACCAAAAATCCCTAATATGATGCAATTTTAAAAAATCTTTTTCACATAACAATCCATAATTTGAGTTCCTGATTCTTGCCAATAATAATGTGAGCCCTATGGCTATTTTTTTTTACTAGCCAAGAAGGAGAGAAGTCTCCCATAAAATGCCACTTCATTAAGGTCCTGCCACCCGCGTCTCCCTGGTCTGCTGGGGGTGGAGGGTGCAGCTAGTGCCCCCTCTCTCCGCCCCAGCAGACCAGGCTTTTCTTGCCTACGCCTGGGGCAACCCAGCAGCACCTCAGCTCCTCTGCCCCAGGCGTGTCCGATTCAGCCTCTGCTGGTCAGTTTCAACCGCGGCTGAATCAGGACGCCTGGGACAGAGCAGCTGGGGTGCTGCTGGGTTGTTCCAGTAGCGCCGAGGAGCTGCGCTACTGGAGCAACCCAGCAGCACCCCAGTTGCTCTTCCCCGGGCTTCCTGGAATCAGCCACTGATCAGTTTCAGCAGCAGCTGACTTGGGGACGCCTGGGTGTCTTAAGTTGAATCCGTATGTAAGTCAGAACTGGCGTCCAGATTCAGCCGCTGTTGAAACTGATCAGTTTCAGGAGCGGCTGATGCCAGTTCCAACTTACATACAGATTCAACTTAAGAACAAACCTACAGTCCCTATCTTGTATGTAACCCGGGGACTGCCTGTAGTTTGTTTAGGGCTTTGTAACAGGCCTGTAGCATGGGCAAGTTTCAGGATCCCCATATCCCTTGCTCCATTTAAAAAAAAAAAAAAGCATTTGTAGAAAGTGAGTACTATGATGCTGGGGTGTCTAGGACTTCCTACCAAGATTCACTGGGATAGAAAGCAGAAAATAAGAAGCATTTTCTCTGATAACAGGAGAGACAGTGGATAGAGACAGGAGCTGCAAGTATCTCCCAATGACTGAAAGAGCCCTACTTTATCTCCTTTAACCCTCAAGTTTCTGGGGAGAATTGGGAACCCCATGAGGAAGAAGCCTTTTATGTTTAGCAGTGAGCTTTAATGCTAGACTTTACTTTTTGTTTATAATCACCACACTCCTGAGGGAAATCTGGGTTCTCTGAAGAAAGAATCCTAAAGGAAGAGCCTTGTTTGATTTAAAAAGAAGCCCAGTGGGAGAGAAGCATAACCTTGGGAAATGTCAACCAGTTACATTCCTAAATGTATAAAGCCATAATAATTTTGGTTACTTGGTATATTGTTGCTTTTTTTCCTGATCAAAAATGTAACATTTGGGATGGCAATTGCTGCATGGCCTCTGTAACTCCTAACTATGCTTATTTTGCACTGCTGGTGACACAGCTATCCACTAGTCCCTGATGTACATGTCTGATTTTGTCGTCTTATACTCAGAAGCTTATAGTCTGATTTGTAAAGATGTTGCTGAGCATTCATGATTTCTCTGTAAATCACTGGAAATTGTGGCTTATCACCTGAACATCAGACTTTTACTGGATTCTTACAAGATTTTTCGTTCTGAAGGCCACATCCTCAGAGATGCTCAGCACCTGCATTCGCCCTTTTACAAATGTTCATTGCTACTCAGGATTTGGCAGTCAGGCCCTGATTGTGCAAATGCTTGTTAAACATATGAACAGATCTTTAGGAGTGGGGCCTTTGATTCCCATCTTCACTCAAACCCACATACACTCACTTTCTCTATAGCACTGAGGACATGAGCTGCGCTTAGCAAATTATTATAGTTTCTTTTCATATTTGGAGGTTTGAAGAATAATCAAATCAATAATTTTTTTCTCTTGTTCTTTAGGACCTGCTGAGATGCAGAGTTTTGACATCAGGAATTTTTGAAACCAAGTTTCAGGTGGACAAAGTAAACTTTCAGTAAGTATCCTCCATAATTTAGTATTCTGAAAAATGACATCTGGCAAAAGTGATCAGGAAAAGAGGGAGGGAATTCTTTTACAGGCCTGTTCATATGCCAGAGACAGAATTCGTATTGCTGAATTTAAAACTTAACGGAAAGCAAGTATTTTCAGATACTTCTAGCTTTACATGAGAATGGGCAGACCTCTTTCTGCTTTTCATTTAATGCCAAACAACTGGTGATTTTTTTAATAAGTTAATTTTTTATTAATCTTTTTTATAACTACTTCTTCTTTACTCTGTCTTTCTGTAAACCTGAAAATAACTTTCCTGATGATTGCTTTTTTTTCCTAGAGGGCAAAAAACATCTTTTCTTCTGTTTCAATGGAGCTGACAATAAAATGGATACTGTTTTTGTTAGCAACAAATTTGTATATAGTACTTTTTACTACCAAAATACATGTTTTGTGCATATGCATTATCTTCTCTGATTCTACAAAGCTAGGAGAGGAAGCAGAAAATGTTCTTTTGTGGTATCATGAAAATAATAGGGCCATTTCTAGTTATTTTTAATTGCTCAGCACTAGAGTTAAGAGAAGATATGTGTGCATACGTTTAAAAGAAGATGTACATAAAAACCACTTCAGTGGACAAATTCAGCCCCCTGGGGAGGGTCTGCCGTGTCTGTTGTTCTTGGGAAACTGCATACACGTTGGCCCACAGAGATCAGTTTTTGAAAGTAGGCATGTAGGCCCCAGTCTGCATAGGTGAGCCCCTGTATCTCAATGGAAGCTTATTGCCTTTCTGGCACTTGGTATAAGCTATATACAATGTATATACATTGCCTATAAATTTCTTACTTTCGTGGTTGGGATCTAAAATTATACTTTGGGATCCTGTATTTCCTTGGAAATGAAGGGTATGTCTGCACTGCAATAAAACGCCTGTGGCTTGTCTGTCAGTTGCCTCAGATTCATGGGGTTTAAGCTGCAGGGCTATAAAATTGCTGCATAGATGTTTGGACTTGGGATGAAGCTGGGGGTCTGGGTCTCTAATCCTAATGGGGTTTCTGAGCCTGTGCTCCAGCCCAAACCTGAACATCTACTTTTAGCTACAAGGCTCAAGCCCCCAATCCCATGTCAGTTGACCCAGGCTCTGAGACTCACTGCCAGAGGTCTTTTTGTGCTGCATAGATATACCCACAGATAATACTATCTGAGAAGCTTCCTAGATTTCTTTTCATTAATCTCCTCATTTTATGACCTCATTTGTAACTGGAGCTCTGGAGTTTGTCTGTACTCTGCCTGTCTTTTTAACTTTGTTTTGGTTTCCTATGGTTTCCTCTTTCCTTGTTGCCTTTTATATTGTCTCTTGGAGAGTGTCTGCCTGCCAGTCAGTTTTATCTAAATACAAAAGAACAGAGAGAGAGTTTTTTCTTTGAATTGCTCCTGTGCCTCTCCTTCTTCTAGGTCTGTCATGTTTCAAGTACAGGTTGAACCTCTCTAGTCCAGCACTCTCTGGTCCAGCAACATCTGTGGTCTAGCATGATTTTAGTTAACCGGATGTCTGCTTATCATGGGTGTGGCCTAGGGAAACATGCGGTTCCTTTCCTAATCGAGTAGTCAGTAGATTTTCTTTTATTGACTACTCGATTTGTCGATAAGGATAGGCAGTTACAGTGCTCAGTCTGGCTTGTGCCAGGCCCTAGCATAACCTCCCCTGCTGCTGCTCTGCATTCTAAAGGACAGGGAAACCAGCGCGCGCAAAGTCGCTGGGGAAGTCCCCGGTCCCCGGATCTCTCATTCCTCAGCATGATCTCCCTTTTCCCTGCTGCCACTCTGCATTATAAAGTACAGGGAACCCTTTATAACGTGTTCATGTTGACTGCTGGGAGACCCACAGGACCAGGGAATGCCTCAACGACTTCATGCACCTACCAGCGGGGGAGGGAGATGTGACTAGTCGATAGTGCTAACCGATAAGCTTCTGGTAGTTGTGGCCATGGTCCCATAAAGCTTGTTTACAGCCACAAATCCTGGCTTTCTCTGTTCTGTGCTGTTACTGAGCTCTGATGTACCCCCTCAATGTTTTCTAAGACCTCAGTAAACAGTAGAAGTACCGGTAATGCTACTAGATAATATTGACCACCTGTGGTTGGGCAAATTCTCTGGTTTGGTACCAGTCCGATCCGGAGAGTGTGGGACTAGATAGGTTCAATCAGAATTACATAAGAACGGCCGTACTGGGTCAGACCAAAGGTCCATCTAGCCCAGTATCCTGTCTACCGACAGTGGCCAGCACCAGGTGCCCCAGAGAGGGTGGACCGAAGACAATGATCAAGCAATTTGTCTCCTGCCATATCCCCTGGCTAATAGCCTTTTATGGACCTAACCTCCATGAAATTATCTAGCTTCTCTTTAAACTCTATTATAGTCCTAGCCTTCACAGCCTCCTCTGGCAAGGAGTTCCACAGGTTGACTACACGCTGTGTGAAGAACTTTCTTTTATTAGTTTTAAACCTGCTACCCATTAATTTCATTTGGTGTCCTCTAGTTCTTCTATTATGGGAACTAATAAATAACTTTTCTTTATCAGCCCTCTCCACACCACTCATGATTTTATAGACCTCTATCATATCCCCCCTCAGTCTCCTCTTTTCTAAACTGAAAAGTCCCAGTCGTTTTAACCTTTCTTCATATGGGACCCGTTCCAAACCCCTAATCATTTTAGTTGCCCTTTTCTGAACCCTTTCCAAGGCCAAAATATCTTTTTTGAGGTGAGGAGACCACATCTGTACACAGTATTCAAGATGTGGGCGTACCATAGTTTTATACAGGGGCAGTAAGATATTCTGGGTCTTATTTTCTATCCCTTTCCTAATAATTCCTAGCATCCTATTTGCCTTTTTGACCGCCGCTGCACTCTGTGTGGAAGTTTTCAGAGAACTGTCCACGATAACTCCAAGATCCCTTTTCTGATTTGTTGTAGCCAAATTAGCCCCCATCATACTGTACGTATAGTTGGGGTTATTTTTCCCGATGTGCATTACTTTGCATTTATCCACATTAAATTTCATTTGCCATTTTGTTGCCCAATCACTCAGTTTGGTGAGATCTTCTTGGAGTCCCTCACAGTCTGCTTCTGTCTTGACTATCCTAAACAGTTTTGTATCATCTGCAAGCTTTACTATGTCACTGCTTACCCCTTTCTCCAGATCATTTATGAATAAGTTGAAAAGGATTGGTCCCAGGACTGACCCTTGGGGTACACCACTAGTTACCCCTCTCCAATCTAAGAATTTACCATTTATTCCTACCCTTTGTTTCCTGTCTTTTAACCAGTTCTCAATCCAAGAAAGGACCTTCCCTCTTATCCCATGGCCATGTAATTTACACAAGAGCTTTTGGTGAGGGACCTTGTCAAAGGCTTTCTGAAAATCCAAGTATACTATATCTACTGGATCCCCCTTGTCCGCATGTTTGTTAACCCCTTCAATTTTGTTAAAATTATAGAAGTTTTAAATCAGTGTGCTGACAAAGTTCTCCAAAATCTGTGTGTATCAAAGTAACAATAGGTGCTTGATTTCCTCCCTTTCCCAGTTTATAAGGAGCTGATGTTAAACAGTTGCATGGGCCTGACCAGAAAATACTGACTCTTAAATATTATTCTGGTGGTGTTTCATGTAGACAAGCCCTAAAGTACTACATTACATTTTGTGAGTGAAAGCTTCTTTGCATTGGCAAATAGGCTGATACTCCTACCTGCAGATTCTGGTAGTCCTTTGTCTGGTTAAGTTCTGAAAAATTAATCTTGGGGTTGTTTACATGCTGTATTCACATACGGCATTTACACTTATTTTAAATACTATATGTCAGACTGAGGTGAGCACAGTGTTTTTGTACACTGACTAAAATGAATTTTTCCTCTTTAGCATGTTTGATGTTGGAGGACAGCGAGATGAACGCCGAAAATGGATCCAATGTTTCAATGGTACGATTTGGAATTGATTTTTGTTTTACAAAATTTAGAATATTAAAGGTCATTGCAATATATAAATAATGGTATGTGAGATTTAACACCTGTTCTCTTTAGTTGTCTGGCGCCTCTTTGACTGAAATTTGTATCATCTTATAATCTATTATAAGTATTTTCAATGTCTTCAGTGAAAATTTGGGCGGGAAGGAAAGCAAGCTGGGTAAATTAAAATAGCACGACATTTGGACAAACTGTCTTTTAATATGTTTTCCTTTTTGTGATTTGCCCTGACATTACAGTTCATTTCCAAACTCTGTCTGTTCTGTCTTAACAAGAGAAGGGCTATATGTTTTGTGTAGAGGTATAGCATAAATATGGAAAAGCAAATTAGAATGCCACGTTATTATGTGCAATAGAACTTGTGTTACTTACTCTGTAGGTACCACTCTTCCTAGTTAGTAGAGAACCATTCCCATGGTATGACTAAGGGACACCTTAGAGTTCCTGCTTACACTAAAAAGGAAGGTCCATGGCTGCTGAAAAAAGTATCTAGGTTACTTTCACTTTCGAAAGCTCTGCTTTCAAAAGTGAGATCAGAAGAAAATATGCAATTTCTGTGGAATTTGCATATCCTCTTTCGAATCTTCCCTGTAGTCCAGACAAGCCCTTAGAATGCTAACAGGAAAATTGCTGTAGTCTTGAGCACTTATCTCAAGAGCTGGACTGTTAACACTTTTTTGTGTCCTGGCCAAAATTCATTTTGAATAATCTAGTCTTTCATAAACTCCCTTGCAATTTAAATTGTCCGTCGTCCTCTTTATGTTCTGAACCCCATGTGTATGGGTTTTGTACAGTTGTTGCTTTCTGTATCAGTTGTGTATGAAGCATTTCTTTTGTCCAAGTAATTTTGTAAAGCTAGATCTGATCAAAACATTTCAGACTTAATTTTTGTAATGGGAAAAATGTAATTTCACAATATACCTTTCCCTCCCCCCTTTTTAGACCCTCCCCCCAAGTTTTTGAGTTCAAGATTGAAGATGCTAGATAGAACATAGTTTACTTTGATTTTATTTGTTTCTATAGTTGCTGCCATAATTTCATCTGAGCAGTGAAATATACATGCTGTGCAATGTTTCCTTTTGCCCTACTTATAAAAGATGCATTCAGTTTTCACCTCTACTCCTTCCTCTTCCTGTTGCCTTACAATCTGCTTCATCTATCCTGTTGTTGATGTCTGAGGCAGATGAGCTTAGAAGTCAGTATGAGGGGTCTGGAGTAGCACAGCCACATAGGATCTGGTCTGAATAGTGGTAGAAATGTAGCCGTGTTAGTCTGGTGCAGCTGAAACAAAAAACAGGACTGTGTAGCACTTTAAAGACTAACAAGTTGGTTTAATAGGTGATGAGCTTTCGTGGGCCAGACCCACTTCCTCAGATCAAATAGTGGAAGAAAATTGTCACAACCATATATACCAAAGGATACAATTAAAAAAAATGAACATATGTGCCCTGGAAAGAGGGCAGTGTTCCTTCAAGAGGTATAGTATGTAATGGGAGGAATTAAGACTGTAATAGTGAGTTCACAGTGAATCTTTTGTTTCATCCATCTTTTTTTTTTTCTTTCCTTACCTTTTTTCCAGTCATCTTTCCTCCTGCTTTAACCAAGAAATACCATTTTAAAAATCTATTTTGGGAAGGGGCCATACTGATGTGATTTTAACGGTTGTGCTTTCTATTGCCGTGGAAGCAAAAGTGCAGTTGCTCTAGAGTTCTCCCCAAAGGCATCTTTGTTTTATCTTCTGCCTTGGGGTTCCCTAGAGTTGTGTGTTAGCTTTTTAATTCCCTCTCTTCCTTTCACCTCACGTCATCTTTCTCAATCTTTTCTCCAGTCTCCGATCCTCCTTTTTGCCTCTTTCTATAGCTTCTTCCTATTCTTTCACTCCACTTTACTATCTTGTATCCCCCCTTTCAGTCCTCTTACTTCCCACTTGCCTCTATTATGCTTTCTTCCCTACTGCCTCTCTTCCTTATTTCTTATATTTAGAAAGCAGGAGGAAATAGTTTTAGGCTAGCCCTTCCCCACCTTATGAAGCCTTACCGTTTCATAGAACTCTGGGGTTCTTGAAGATGTTATTGGGATCTTGATGCTAACTATTGGGTGTTTCTTGATTTAGATGTGACTGCTATCATATTTGTGGTGGCCAGCAGTAGCTACAACATGGTTATACGAGAGGACAATCAGACCAATCGGCTTCAAGAAGCACTAAACCTCTTCAAGAGTATCTGGAACAACAGGTCCATGAATTGAATTGAAGTTTGATCATTAATTGCACATGCATTAGTATCACTGTTATTAACTTTATAAATATAACTTTGGTACAAAGTGGCCCATTTCTATATCTGACATGGCCTAGTCAATCATTATCTTTATGCTCCACTGTAAATCTGCTATATGAAATACTAGTACATGGTATTAAAACTTAATGGAAGACAACTACGTAAATTGGGGAAATGGTGTAGAAAAAATAAAATAAGCAGAAAGATAACTGAATCTGTTATAGCACAGAATATGAATATAGCCTCTAAAGTATTTCTTTTCAATCTTGTTTCATTTGTGGATCCCTAAAAAATTTCAAATGGTCATGCAGATCCCTTTGAAAATCTTAGCCATAGTCTGTGGACTCCTACGGGTTGAAACCACTTCTCTGAACTGTAGTTCATTGTTTGCGGCAGGAGTGAGGGGTGTTATTGATGTTTAAACTCAGCCATACATTCTGACACTGTTTGGCTTCCATTTTTTTTAGGTGGCTACGGACCATTTCAGTAATTCTTTTCCTAAATAAACAGGATTTGCTAGCAGAGAAAGTTTTGGCAGGGAAATCTAAAATTGAAGATTACTTTCCAGAATTTGCTCGCTACACTACACCAGATGATGGTAAGAACATTATTCTCCTCTTTGATGATACAGGTTTATTAAAAGTATCACTACCTTGGGCTACAGTATATGTTAATTGTATTTATGGGAAGTTGCAGATAAACTTTAAAGCAAGCACATTTCCAAAGCTGAAAGAATGTTCAGTACCTTTCAGACAAATGTTAATGTTAAATATTTCTTCAATTACTATTAAAACACATTATCTGTTGGACATACACAGAGGAATTTCAGCATGCTATCATTTTACTAGCCACTTTGTTTGTGGACTCCACCGCAGCCTCAATACAGTGGCAGCGTGCAGCTTTGAGATGAAGTATTCCATGGGAAAATCCTTGGTGTTCCTAGCAGAAATGGAGGTTCATTTTGTCCATTATCTCCAGAAGAGAAGGTAGCAAAAAGTCAGAATAACTAAGTGGGGTCAGTAAGAAATGTTTCATTTTTTAAAAAAGACTCTAAGAAAGTTTCCATCTCCTATTAAGTGGTTATTATAAAATGAATGTAACTGTTACAAATTCATTCTCTTTAACAACCCCTTCATCTGCAGCCAGAGTAGTACAATCCAGCCAAGTCAATGGTATTCGGGATCATGTGGTGATGGATGTTACCTGTAAGCGCCTTACTAGTGTAAATATGAGTTCTGTATTTCCTTAAATTGTGACACATTCCAGACATTATGGACGCCATCACATTTTCTTGTTTTCCTTAAGTCTTATTGTTTTAGATAAAATATTACAGTTCTTGTCTCTTAATATATGTTAAGAACATTTTCTATTGCATTTGAGCAGAAAACAACAATTATTTTGTAAAGTTGATGGTCAGTAGGTAAGTTATTTTCAGATTTATTACTATGAAATGCCCACGTTAACAAGTGCTTATTGTATTATTATTAACTAGCAACACCAGAGCCTGGTGAGGATCCCAGAGTTACAAGGGCCAAGTATTTTATTAGAGATGAGTTTCTTGTAAGTATTTTCTATTTTTTTATATATTTTTTTCTATCGTAAGCTTAACTGTGTTTTAATATTGTAGATCTGTTGGCACACTCTTATAGGGGGCTTATATTTAATCTGTGTGTTATGTAGTATACCCACCTACAGGGTTGAAGGGTGTTGGAGGTTTTTTAGCTACTTTTTTATATATTTAACAAGATATGGTTAAATTATTCAAATGTTGAGAATTGCTGTAATTATCAAATGGGTGAATTCCTTATCTCACTGTTATAAATAGCAAAAGTCACATTGATTTCAGTGGGAGCCAAGATTTCACCCACTATGCCATTGCTAATGGAAATTGTGGATCAAATCAATACATTATCCACTGAATATTAGTATTTCCCAGTATAGTTCCCATTCATCTCATTAGCCAGCTGATTAATTTTAGTAACCATAGTTTTAAGTGTTTGTATAATAAATACCTGAATTGGGCATCATTATTATTACGGATACTGTGCATCCCATAAAAATGTACTTGTGTACACCAGAACCACAAACTACTGAGAAGACTGTGTGTAGTTTGTAAAGAAGGGCTGAAGATTCACACACTGGCAAAATTCAGTAGTTTGGAGGGGGAAGTTCACTATGTGAGTTGTACGGTCAGTGTTCCCCACCCCATCTGCACATACATTTCCCCACTAACATGAAACCATCTCCAAGGGGTAGCACTGTTAGTGAATCTGTGAAGTTACTTTAGCTCTATAGTTACGTTTCAGTTCCAAAGTTCCCAAATACTCAATTTTTCCATGTTCAGTTCTGTTCCCCTCAGGTTAAATCCTGAACACCTGATTGCACTGATTTCAGTAGGGTCCAGATTTCACCATAGAAGTTATATTATATTTTCACCAGCATTCAGTTGATGCTTGAGAGCATAATTTTTTCCAGTCAATTTTATTTTCACATACTTTCTCTGTTTTATTCCTACAGAGAATCAGCACAGCAAATGGAGATGGAAGGCATTACTGCTATCCTCACTTCACCTGTGCAGTGGATACAGAAAACATCCGGAGGGTTTTCAATGACTGTCGGGACATTATTCAACGGATGCACCTTCGCCAATATGAGTTGTTGTGATGGAGAGCACTTTTTTTCTGTGTTTTGGACTCCTTATTCCTTATTAAAAAAAAGAAAAACAAAAAACAAACAAAAAAAAAACCCTTGCCCACATAGGGTGGAAGAGAACTGTTGCAGTCTCCCTCTGATTTGCACCCCTCAACTTTTTCTCCTTGTTGGACAATAGCAGCACTTCTAAGCTTGCTTGTGTCCCCCTCAGACAGTTTGAGATGGCACCTAAAATTTAAAAGCCATTTCCATTGGGGGTGGGGGGCGCTGTCCCTAACACTGTCATTAACTAAATAAATTAATTAAAAGTCCTGAATCTGGAGTACCTGAAAGGATTGGGGATAAAAGTTTAAAAGTAAATAAAAAGAAGTGGGGAGAGAAAACCTTAAGTAATTTAGCACTGTTGTGGGCATAATCATATAACCCATGATCTCAACTTTGTATCCATTCACTGCATCAGACAAAAGAAGGTGCCAAGTCACAGACCAAGTTTGAAGACAGACACTTGAGTTTGGTTCTCTGACTGTAATGTGGCTTTGAACGGAAATACTGACAATTCTACAACAGACCTAGACAGTGCAAAAACTAACTGCTACTTTTCAAAAGGGTATTTTTAAATCCAGTCTTGGTGGTCTTAAGATGACCATGGACATTATGAATTGAACTGCGTATGGCCTGTGATTGCAGAAAGAGTTAACCACACACTGTTTTCAGTTTGTCCACTGATGATCCTGTCTGCTATAAAAATCATTATCCGGACTTTAGTCCTCATGGTCTTTCCCTTCTTTTTCTTCTCCCCTTGCCCTCATTTTTTTTTTTATTTTACTGCTGGATTATTATTCTTGTACAGACTGTAAAATGTATTATTTTGTACAACTTTATTGAAAAAATAACTTGTAGAAGATCTTTGTGCCTTGATTATGGCTGTACCTGTACAATGAGCTAAGATGTAAGTATGTTTGATTGCGCTGTACAGCTTTGTCAACCCTATCTGCAGCATTAGCTCAAGGTAGGGAAAATTTATCTGTAGTTTAGTTTTTCTGGTTTATAAAAGAAGGAAAAATACTGTTTAGTAAAAAACAAAAAAAAACCAAAAAAAAAGTACAAATTGTGCAAACTTAACCACTTTAAAAGTGAGGTCTTCAACAAGTGACCAGATGTTGCAGCATCATGCTTTTTAATTTTTAGCTTTAATTCATTTAAATCTCTATCCAAATGCAAAACATGGCTTGTTTCTACATAAACCAAATTTTGCTACAAATTATAAATGTTAGTCTTTGGTCATTCATAGTCCTTTTCGCAAAAGTCAAAAACAGAAGAAAAACAAACACATGCCAGTCTGGTGACCATCTGTAGACTGGGACAAATACCCCACCAAACTCCGCTATCCTGCCTGGGCATAATATTACAAGAATGAAAAGGTGTACACTGCCCTTGGATTTGGCCACTGAATTCCAGTTTCAAATGACATTTTTATCTCTCTTTTAATAAAGAGATATCTTAGAACCTTTTTATTTTATATTAACTATATAAGTAGCTTAAAGTGAAGATGTGTGGATTTTTTCTTAAACTTGAATAATTTATGCAAATTATATGCTTAGAACAACATGTGGTACAGTAAAAAGAAAAAGAGCAAAAATCACTGTAGCAATAAGAGAGCATGTAATTTTAGTAACTACTACACTGCTTTATATTTTATACCTAGGTGTTTTATGTCTCTGTGAGTGTGTTACTTTTTCATGTGTCTAAACCTACGTATACAATTTGTACAGAGTCAAAAATTACAGCTGTAATAACACATCTAGAAAAGTGTTAGTATATATTACTCAAATGTCCCTCTCCTCTACTTCCTATCTACTCCCCCAAATCAATCTACTTCTTAATGCAGTGACTTTTTAATAATTACCTCTTTGCCTTTCACACTAGTTTTTTTCCACAAGATGTTAATTTCTTTTTGTGAAGAGGTCCAGTTTAAATTAATGTTAGGGAGTGGTCAGCAATATCTATATGGCTATAGAGGTACCAGATGCCTTTTTAACATTACGAACTGTGACCATTCGGAATTGAGAATTTGTTGTTGTTGCTTTTGTGGCCTCCTTTTAATGAGAAAATTCCCTTCTCCATTTGCACACATCTAGAAAGCAAGGTCTTAGTGTTGGTAATATCTCATTCACCATCTGATTCAAAATTACTAGTGATCTTTTAGGAGACGCTAAATCGTTTTGGAACTCTGGCCACAGTTGCTAATCAGATTTGAAAAACCAGTCTGTCCAGTTCAAAAGTTTGGAAAGCTGCCATCTGGGCCTTGTGAATCCATAGAAGAGCCTAACCTAAAATAGCCCTCACATTTTTAGATTGGAATTAGTACCTGTAGGTTAAAGATTGGGGTTTCAATAGGTGGGACGCAAAAAGAAAATAAAACATGAGCCTTAATTTTTATTACAGGAGCCAAAACCTTTGTTTTTAGTGCCAACCCTTATCTTAAGCCTGGGGGAGTTGGTGGAAGCACCAAATTTATATACAAGGGACAAACATCTAATGGTAAGGAATAACCTCTGAACTGAAAGCACCTCCTTTGACAAAGATTTTTTTATTTTTAAAACTCTTGACAGTGACAAGACTACACAAGCATGTAACAAAGAAGAAATCTATAAGACAATACCATTTTAAGAAACTTTCCTATAAAGCTTTATATGAATGGAACTGTTTAGGAAATGCTTTTTATTGAGAGAGAGAGAGAGAGAGAGAGGGAGGGAGTAAAAATGTATTGAAAAAGTCAGGTTTCACATGTATGGAGTGTGTATGTGTCTTTAATGTCTCGGTATTGCCTTTGTTACTTTCTTTAGTAGTCCATGCAGTTTGGTGGCCTGATAAATGCAAGTCTTATTTTTAGCAGCTTTTCTTTGTTTTTATTTTTAATACAAAACCATAAAGCTTTAGCACTTGCTATTTAATTAGTAACTGTGTTTTCTTCTATCTCTAATTTAGTAGTCATAATTTGCAGTTATTTTAACCATTCCAATCTACTGTTTTCTTATATTTTCTTACTTTTGTCATTTTTCACTCCCATTCCCTCACTCATTTATTTTAATTTCAAACATAATTGAGGACTTTTCCCTTTTGTCTCATTCATGTTTGGGAATTTCTGACCTTACATCTGAGATTTTACTCAGTCTACTCAGTGTTCTTTGTGATGCTGAAGTGTAAGATACCTGCAAATGTAAACACTACCACTTCTATTAATAAAAACAAATAGAGTGTTTTAGGGGCACATTTGCATCACTGTAGTTAAGGTTGTGTCAGTATTTCCATTATAAACCCATAGGGGGAGTCTATACCTTGGCACCAGATTGCCCCGAGCTAAATCTTGCCATTTAAGGCTTCTGCTCAAGCATGATTTGGAGGGTTGCTTTTTAAACCATTTCCAACACAAACTTTGGTTCTGTTTTAAATTATATAACTGTTTTGTTGGCCAGGGTTTGATTTAAAAAAAATATTGGTTCAGGATATTTTTGGCACTTGTATAACTCAAAAACGGTTTTGATTTAAAACATAACCTTTGGCAAGTCAGTAATCTACCATATGATCTGATCACTTTGGGTATTTTGTAAAAATGATGATAATAAATTGTAGCAGTGTCGTGGTTTCAAAATCAGCTACTGTGCATTTGCAGTAACTTATTTCATTGCAGGATTCTTAACAATGTGGACTTAGTGTGCTTGTTCAGCAGCCAGTGATAGTCATGTCTCCAGAGGTGCTTTCTATGGTTTGTTAAGGGAAATACTCCGTAAACTGTAGAGGATTTACTCTGTAAACCCAGATAGCTCACACAACATAAAAAATGACCTTTTAAAATGGAGGGACACATCCTGGCCTGATAGAAGGTAAACATGGGTCTTTTTTTTTTTTTTTTTAAACCACTCACTTCATCGGGCCAAGGTTTTACCCAGTATGTGTGAATGGAGACTTAACTTGAGGAACTGGACCTAATTCCTATTGTCTCATACTGCACAGTGTTGGTACAGGCAGCAGAATAATTTTTAACCAATAAATCTATGCATAGGTTTATTATCTATTTATAGGCTTTTCTGTGGTGCTCCTCACTGTAGAATCTGTGCACCTTATAACCATAAACATTCCTGTGGAGTGGGAAGTTTGCATCAAATCCCCATTTTGCAAATGGGAAAATTAGGTACAGAGAAATTCAGTGATTTACCTAAACCACACAAGAAGTTGGTTGCAAATTTGGGGCTAAAACCCAGGTCATCTGAGTCCCAGTCCAGTGCCTTAACAATGAAAATCATTGGTTACTGGTGCTATATAAATGCTGAGGGTAGATAATTACAAGCTATCAAATAATACAACTTACGTTGAAAGAGAAAACTCTCTCTATGCCTTTGCATACAGTCATGTGTTTTCCATGTTGGCAGTCATAGCACTGAATCCTTTTTCCTATGACATCAACAACAAAACTCCTGTTAACTTTAAAAAGGCAGGATCAGGCACATCTAGGGTACATCTATACTGCATGCTTATTTTGGAATAAGCTATTTTGGAAGATATATTTGGAAATAGCTTATTTCAAAATAGAGCATCCACACTACAAGGAAGCCTCAAAATTAGTCTCAGGCAGGTTCCCCTAATGTGGATGGGCTCTCTCGATGTAGAGCCCCAGGAAGCACTGGAGATAAATTACTTAAAATGGCTCTGATGAGATATTTTGAAATAGCAGCAGTGAAGTGTCCACACTGCAGCTATTTCAGAAGAGGAGTTATTCCTCGTGGAATGAGGTTTACGGAAGTCAGAATAAGTTGCCTGTTATTTCAATATTATTTCAAAATAATGGAATTGCTGTGTAGACACTAGCATTGTTATTTCAGAATAACACTAGTTATTAATAACACTAGTTATTCTGAAATAACAGTGCAGTATAGACGCACCCTTAGAGAAGCACCAGTGGTAGCGGAGGGTAGTCAGCAATTTACAAAAACAGATCCTTGTTCCTTTATGATGTATACGGTGTTTATACCACCATGAAAAATATTTTTTGGCAAAATCTTCATTCACAAAGGAGTCTCTCTTCTTCAGCAGACTGTGTCTGAAAGTTCAGCATAGGGGGAAGAACCTTTTTCTGCTTTAACAAGCTTAGAAAAGTGTTTGAAAATAAAATAAGCTACAAAGGGGATTTCTGAACCTTGGCTGGTAAAACCTCTGACATCAAAAAAGACCTCATTTGGAGATTGGCAAGGTGGGAGTTCCATCAAAACATATAGAATACGTTTCAATCATAAATTAATATTGGTGGAACTGTCAAAAAAAAGTTAACCAGTTTGTTTAAATATTAAGCATGAAAGTTGGAATTTCATTTGTCAGTATTGAAGCAAGATAGGAACTCCTTTTAGAGTATCATTCTGTCAGTGTCGCAAAACTGTCAGTAAATGGCAGCCATCAGTATTGGGCTCATAATAACCATTGTACATAATTGTATATTCAGTGACATTTCTTTATTAATGGTGACAACTTTTCATCCCATCTACTTTTTAATGTGCTGAGCAAAGCTGAAAAGAATCTTGGGGATGTAGTGGTTCGCAAATGGAATAGGAGCCAGCACTCTCATGCAGTGGTGAAAAATGGTAATATCATTCTGGGATGTATTAACAGGAGTGGTGTATGTAAGCCATGGGACATAATTGTCCCCTTCTATTCAGTACTTGTGCGACCTCAACTGGTTACTGTGTCTAGCTTTAGGCACCATACTTTCAGAAATTTGTAGACAAATTGGAGAGAGTCCAGAGGAGAGCTGCAAAAATGATAAGTTTAGAAAACCTGAATTATGAGAAAAGGTTGAAAAAATATGAAAAGAGATGACTGGGGGTAAACCTGGTATAGTCGACTTCTACTATATTACAGGTTTTTACAAAGAAGTCTGTAATCAATTGTCCTCCTTGTCCACCACGGGAAGCAAAAGAAGTCATGGGCTTAATCTGCAGCAAGTGTGATTTAAATTAGATATTAGGAAATGCTTAACTATAAGGATAGGTAAGTGTGAAATCCCATCATGGAAGGCTTTTAAGTACAGGTGAGACAACAACTGTCTAGTTAGTCGAGGATTCCTTGGTCTCTTGGGTAAGGAATGAAGCGCCCTACACCTCCCTCTTTAGGCTGAGGCCATGCCTCCACTCGCTGTTGTCAGTGCCTCACACTACCATGGCACCAGCCATGGCAGGGGAAATGGTGTGAACTCGGTTGGTGCCCCAGGAGAGAGGGGGGCCTGAAACCTCAGCCAGGGTCAAGATTTCAGTCCCATCTGGAACCAGGGTGGAACTTTTGCTTGCTGGAGCTACAGGTCTGGAGCCCTTCCTCTGTTCTGCCTTTTTCCTTGTGGCCCTACCCCCTACTTTCATCCTTGTCCCTCCACTGTGACCCCAAATCCAGAAAAGCTGATTAGGCATGAGCACTCCTCTGGGGCCAATAGCTGTAACAGCGGTTTGAATTGCCAGGCCTCAGGGCAGGTGCCTCCTTTGTCACCCCACCCCACTCTTCTCTTTCTCTATCCCCTGTTGGCAGGCCTGTATGCGGTAATTTCCACTGCTCCTCTTCCCACCTCCCCAGACAGTGCAAGGTTTGAGAAGTTTTAGCTTTCATTACAGGCCACCCGTGTTAGGTCCTGCCTCAGCAGCAGGTAGCTGAACTAGATGACACCTTGAGGTGCCTTCCAGCAGTACAGTTTTGTGATTCTAAACCAGGCGCAGTTTAGAGCACTATTCTTCAAAAAGTGACATTGTGGGGCTCTGTTCATCACTGATTTCTGCCTCACATGTGCTTGATAGGAAAAATGCCCTTTTATTTGTCTGCAAGCTCTCTGCAAATTTGGCCAGCTGAGTTCTTTCTCACTGCATCATCACTGGTAACAAAACTTCAGTGACACTGATGTGATGCACGGAGATGTAATTGTTTGAAACTTGGCTAACAATTATCTTGATGAGGAACAAGATAAAACAATTCACAGCTCATTCTGGTTCTGCATTGCTGGTATGAAAAGCAGCAAAAATTTACTTAAGTTAATAAAGTCTGAAAACATGCCCTAGAATACACCCATCTGTTGAGTAAGAAGAGATGCCATCTTTATGTAGTCACTTACAAAATAGAGCTAACTACACTCTAAAGCTGGAACAAATGCAAAGAATGTCAGAAGTTAAGACCTGAACATCTCTCTTCTCCTTCCTTAACTCTGATTTTTTTCATTCGAAATGCCCTGTAATAACTATCTTGTGCTAATGTCAAACCTCTGCAATACTTCAGGCGTGAATAAGGACAGACTGACAGCAGGCTTAGGACTGAGGTGGTGGTATTTGGAATTCATTTGGTTTTGCTGATTTGTTACACAATCAAAATAATGTTTGTGGGGCGA